GGCGGCGGCGGGGGGCTCGCTGTACGCAGTCCGCAGGGGGCCGGGGTGGGCGAGGGGGTGCTGAGGCCTGTGGTTAGGTGAGTGCGTGTGAGTCCGGTCCCGCTGCAAGGGAAAAGCCGTAGCCTAGTGCTGTGGCGTACCGGTCCTGGGAATCTGACCTTGCGAATTAATTTATTCATGGGAACAGCATACTGGCCCCGTGTCTCTGTACAGTGCACAGAAAAAGCATGTATAAGTTGCTCCCTCACCTGAAAGATAATAGTTTCCCTCACGTGATGTCAAGAGTGCTTTTAAGTACTTGACAGATAAGTTTGCTGACGAGGCATTTATGTTATGCTTATTGAGGGTTATTTCTTTATCATGTCTAAAAACCTAACCCCTCCAAGGTGTCCAACATGGAAGAGTTTAAAGATGCAAGTCCACCTGAAGAATTACTTGATCACTTAAAGCTTTCTGATCAGAAGTCTTCAGAGACCGGCCCCAAAGATGCACATAATCCCAAAAACATTGAAAGTGGATATACACCATCTTCAGCCAAAGATCCCACAACAGCAGATGAGTGTTTCCATGACTGTCATGATTCCTTTGAGGCAAAAGAACCTATGCTGGATGATGAAGGGAATTTACAGAATGATGAGAATAGCTCAAGGAAGCAGACAGAACTAGATGAAGACTACTTACTAGAACTAGAAAAAGATATGCCAGAGGAAGAAAAACAGGTAATCTGAAGTAGCAGTGTTGAATATAAAAAGATATATTTTCAGTGTCACGTTTCTGAATGGTCTGTGGCTGGCATGAAAATGGACCTTTAAAACTCTCTTATGTGTCTAGTTTTACTGTTCTTAATTTCTTCTTTTAGAAGAACAAGTATTTTTGTGAGCTTTCCTTGCTGTTCTTAATCGTCACATTCCATTGCAGATTTTTGTCTACTTTCACTGGTGTGTAAGGTTACTGTGACTCAGAGAGATTATAAGAAACAAAAATCTCCCTGTTTCATGTTATTTAGTTTGTGTGTATTCATTGTTTTCACCTGATTAGCTGCAAGTGCTTTTCCAAAACTTAGAGCAGTTTTCAGGATAGCTTTCATATCTGAAAGGCTACTTTATGTAATACAACTAATTGGGATTAAATTTGAAAGCATCCCTATAGATTACTTAAGCTTTAATTGAACAAAACACATTAAATGTGTGGTTTTGTTGACTTTCAGTGCTGTTACATTGGACAAAATGTTTGGGTAACAAACTAGATAATGTTGTGGGGAGTAACCAAATGGGTCTTGGGGGAAGTCCAACAGCCTCTGTAATGGTGTTTTCTCCCCTGTAAGTCTGTGCGAACCAGTTTTTTTGATGCTTAATCAGTGGTGTCACTTGACAGCAGTTAGTTTTCAGACTTCTAAGATATTATGGTCATCTAGTAGTTAGAAAAAAAAAAAACTTTTTTTTTTTTTTTCTAACTTTGAGAAGACATGTTAAATCACTTGCAGGATTAGACTCTTTAATTGAGTAATGCCATGAATTTCTGCTGGTAATTATGTTCTCATAGCAAATGGTGGAAGGCTTTCTACTGATTTATGGAATTTTTTTTTCCCTAATTTTTTTCAACTTTAGTTTGCAAATGGTGGGGGAGTAAAGATATTAAACTAAAATCTTGTGTCCCAACATATAACTCTTGTAAATTTTTTTTAACACTATTTTTGACAAGTTATATAGCTTGGCCTCTTAACAGATCATGTTTCAAAGAACTGATCTAGCCTCTTAAAATCTAATTGAATTATCCAAACAAGCAGTCACTTGTAGTGAAACTTGAAACAGTGAGGAAAGGTACTACTATATTCTTTGGCAGTTGGGGAAAAAGTGAAATTCTGAGGTATCATAACTTATGTGAAGGGAAGGTTTCAGCAAACTATTTTATAGTCCTGTAGGCATGAATTAGATCTTATTTTAATAAAGGAAATAGAGTCCTTACTGGAAGACTAGCTGCGTAATTTGGATCATAGGTAACATTGAATAACTGATTATGATGAGGAAAGGAGAGACTAGAGTAAGGAATGGCAGCTATCGCGAGAAGGTAGGCAGCATATTAGGAAAGCATTACTTCATAGGAGAAGATAGTGTATTGTATGGCTGTATAGTTTTTATTCTGGCAACTCCCAAATCACCAGGAACAGTAGAAGAAATTACTACTGTAATGGACAAGTACTACTAAAATGAGGCATTTGATGAAAAAGAAGAAATGAAGGGTCATACCAAATTAATTTTTTTAAAAGTGCTTAAAATATTATGAATGTTTCAGTGAATTTATAGGGGCTTATTATTCTTTTGTACAGGCAAGCTGATCTTTTCTAATTCAACTCACCTGGTAAAGCTGGACCACGCTTTCTTAACTGTGGTCTGTGTTGTATAAGTAAATAAATGCTGGGTATACATTGCCCAAAAAACTTGGAAAGAGGGAGGGGCTTGGCAGTAACTTGTCTCGCCATGGTCTTATTGTCAGCTACTGTAAATAGAGAATGAGGGGCTTAAATATGCAGACCTAAGATGCCAGAGGCAGCCAAACATATAAATTGTTTGTTACAAACCAGTGTAGAGAAATTTAATCAAGTCGTGGCTCAAATAGTTCCCTTGCTTGTAGGGTGGGATTTCTGACCAAAATACAGTTACTTTTTCATCTATCGTAGAGATTGTTGTGTTAATGTAGAAGTTCCTTGAGGTGGTAAAGCAATATGGGACTAGTGGGGAAGGGGAACATGGAATTATAATCTCATTGAAGTAGGAATGAGACTAAATGTAACACTTGTCTCCTGCTTGACCTTGTGGAAATCACTTCGTATCTCTCTCTCTGTCTTTCAATTTTGACATATGTAAAATGGGCTTAATGATGCTTGCCGGTTGTAATATTTTGAGATCTAATAATGAAGGGGGGGGGGCAGGGCAGAAGTCTCAACAGGTTGTCGGGTTATCTGGTGCATCCCTTGCCCGAAAGGGCCTCTGGAGGTCATCTAGTCCAACCTCCTGCACAAAGTTAGATCAAATAGATCAGCCTGCCCAGAGCCACGCAGACATCTCTGATCCTGGAGACTGCACAGCCTCTCTGGGCCCCTGTTCTAGTGTTTAACTACCCTCATGGTGGAAACTTTTTTCCTCATATTTAATTAGAATTTCCTTTGTTGCAACTTGTGATCACTGGCCGTCCTGTTTCTGCATGCCTAAGGAAAAGTCCGTCGCTGTTTTCTCTAGCAATGAAGTCTCACCTGAGCCACCTTTTCCTAAGGCTGAACAAACTCAGTTCTAGGCTCTCTGCTTAGGTCATGGTCTCCCGTGTCTTGACCATCTTGGGGGCCTTCTGCTGGACTCCCTCTGGGAAGTTGATGTCTGTCTTCTTTTTTTTTTTTTTCTTTTTTTTGGTATGGTGGGGACACCAAAACTGGGCACTCTCCAAATGAATTCTCTCAGGTGCTGAACAGAGGGCAAGAATCACTTCCCTTGACCTACTTACTACACAGAAAAAACATCACATTGCCCTTGTGTCTCTTTCAGCTTAGACTAAACAGTCCCTTTTTTCTACTTGTATTTATTGCTTGTACAAGGAGCATTGTCATCATTAGTCACGATGAGGCTTCTGCAGCAGCCTGTGACTTGAAGGCAGCTCGAGAGTTTCATAGACAAAATGCTAAAAACTGTGAGGAAATTATGTCATAGAACTAAACTCTAGAAAGAGCAGCAGGCCTGGAAATTGGGTGTCTTAGTTTTTGTGTTGCTCTTGTTTCTGTTGTATTGTTGGGTAACCATTTAGTATTGAACATCAATTTTTGCCTTCTGTAAAATGAGCAGAAGAATTGTGAATGTTGAATCCTTGCATTCAGCTTTGTGGAACTCAATTGAAAGGTGCTATGGGAGTACAAAATAATAACTGTTTAAAGCTGGAAAGATTTCCTTAGAGAAAGTATTGAGACAGCTGCAGTTCTCATCTTTCTGTAGGTTTATTTCCAGTGGTATTGAGCAGTTGTGCCCTTCAGCTTCGTTTATGATTATAGCTAACAAAATGGAGGGATTCCATCTCTTAGTATCACCATAACTATTAGATTGGCAGTATTTACATTGTGAACTTTTTGTTTATGTTCCATAGAGAGCTTTCTGCGTGTATTATATAAGCAGTCTTTAAAATACAGCTATATTGTTGGTATCTTTTATAAGCAGAGCTGAGAAATTAGAATCTTACAGCAGTTGTTACAACTATTGAAGTAGCCCATTTGCATGATCTTACCCTTACATTCTCTGTGTAGTAAAACCATGGGGGTGGGTCATTCCTAAATTGCCACTCCAGCTTTCTTCATGATACCTGGAATTGATGGCTAAATATTTCATTTTATTTTTATATTTAAAAGTGAAATGTTCTATATATTTTGATTATTAAAAGAATCTGCTATATGATGCAGCTTTTAAGAAAAAATACTCCAGTTACAGTCTGAAAGCAGCTGCTGTACATCTGTTTATTCACAGTTTTTCAAACATTTTAAACCTCCTTCCAATTACTCAAAAGGTCGTTTTAGAGAAGGGCAACGTGATTTTTTTTTTTTTTTTTGGAGCTGGAGAAAATGAAGCAGAAATATTCAGAGCTTGTTTATTTGACTGTTCAGGTTGTGACCAGACACTCAGCAGCAGTGCTGTGTTTGCTGCTTAGGCAGTCCTTGATCAGTTATTCTCAGCCCCCTGCTGCCTCCTTCATTGTGCTAGCACACCTCTCTGTGTGAATGTGCAGTGAACCAGTTACAGGGAATGATTCAGATGAAAAATAATGCTGTATTTTTAGATCAAGGGCAGCGCTGGTAAAAGTAGACATCAAATGGCAGCCTCGTGATGGCATACAGGGGTAGAGGGATTTTCTTCAATTTGACTACTTGCCTAAATAAGAAAAACTTCCCATGAACTGTGGTTGCAGCACCAACCATAAACTATGTATTCAAGTCATAAGGAGAGCTGAATGTTAGCCCTGCTCAAATTTATGGGGCTACACCTTAATAGTTTGTTGTGGTTTTTTTTTAAACTAAGCCCATTGTTGTGTTTTAGCAGCTTTAATAAATGAGTTCTTTAAAGCGATGTTCTCCAATAACTAGGCTGTAGAAAAGAAAGTCTCTAATTTATTCTGGAGATGCAAAGAGAGATTCTAGTCCTTGCTGTGTGTGTTTATGCGCATCTTATGTGCAAGCTTTCATGGTAGCAGCTCTGAGTAGAAATTCTCACTCATGCAGAAGCTGCTGCAGAGATCAGACTAAAGGAGCAAGCGGTTGTGTATTTTCTCTCAATTATATTTTGAGAGCCCCATACAGTGAGATTTCTAATTTTCAGCAACAGGAATTACTTCCAGGGAAACAGTACCAATCCTGTAAGAAGTCTACTACACAATGAAGCAAAATAAGTACTTGAAGGGATATTAAGAGACAAACCTGCAAGAAGTATTCTTAAAAACAGGTGTAGCATAGAGCCTGGTTACTTGTCTGGACTTGCAACTCCACAATTAAGCAGCCTGAAACAAAATTCACTTTTATAAGATTTTGTTGTTGTTGCAAAAGCGTGCTGATTGCTGCCTCAGCAGAGGCACTGAGCAGTAAATTGCTTTTGATGCATTACAAACAGATTTTTCTGGTTAGTTGTCATTGACAGTGATGGCTTTGACGTTGGTCTAGTCTGCAGAATTAATCAGAAGACACCCAACAGCTGTT